GGGGGGGGGGGGGGGGAGGAAGTTAGAAAAACAGAGGCAAAATTATGTAAAGAATTTGGGGAATTGTTTGGGGAAATTGAAATCACTTTCTTGGATCCTGCGAGGAAACAGTGTAGCTATTGCGCAAATTTATCAAAATGCTATGGTTGGCCAAAGATAAAGGTAATAAGGAATGATGAAAAGTAAAAAAAAAAAATAAAAGAAAAGAACGGAAGAAAGAAATCCCAAGAAAATTCAAAAGTAATATAGCAGAGGAGAGAGAAAACAAAGACTTATATCAAGTAGTAGGACTGTGTGTGTGTTACAACTCAAACTAGTACCAGCAGGAGAAGAAGAAGGGTTAGTTTCTTTCCCTTTCTCTCTCCTCATACCAAACAGGAACCCACTGAACAGACTAATCATCATGAAACACCCTCTTCACCCAGCACTCCTCAAAAGCAATTCTAACCATCAAAACCCTCCAACCCTTAAATTTACCATTCTTAACACAACTCATTTCTCACACAAAAACCCATCTACACCAAAACCATGAAACACCCTTCTCTCCTTCTCTTCCTCACAACCTGTACTTTCATCTTTTTCAGAATATCCTTAGTTTTCTCGGTCACCACAGGTCTACCTCTCCAACTCATAGCCCTACTCTCACTAAAATCCTCCCTCAAAGACCCTCTAAACACCTTCCATGACTGGGATCCCACACCCACCTTCTCAAAACCTGGGTTTCTACCCATTTGGTGCTCATGGTCCGGCATCAAATGTGACCGGAAAACTTCCCAAATCACATCGTTGGATCTTTCGAAAAGGAACATTTCCGGCACCATTCCGGCGGTTATCCGGTACTTGTCACACCTACACCATTTGAACTTGAGTGAAAATGCATTCGATGGTCCTCTACAACCAGTAATTTTTGAATTTCCATACCTTAGAACACTTGACATCAACCATAACTCCTTCATTTCCACATTCTCACCTGGTATATCGAAGATCAAATATCTCACTTACCTGAATGCTTATAGCAACAGCTTCACAGGTCCATTGCCAGTAGAGATCAGTCACCTCCGATTCCTCGAGTACCTCAACCTTGGTGGAAGCTACTTTGATGGTTCTATTCCGGCAAGTTATGGCAGTTTTCCCAAGCTGAGGTTTTTGAACCTCGCCGGAAATCTACTTTCCGGTCCAATTCCAGCAGAGTTGGGTTTCTTGACAAAGCTCGAACGTCTAGAAATCGGGTACAATGAGTATACTGGTGGGCTTCCAACCCAATTTGCGACTTTGTCAAATTTACAGTATCTTGACATCTCAACGGCCAATCTCTCCGGTGATCTTCCAGCCGAGCTTGGTAACTTGACAAACCTCGAGATATTGTTCCTCTTCAAGAACCACTTTTCAGGTTCTATACCGGTGAGTTTAGGCCAATTGTCAGCTTTAAAATTTCTGGATTTATCGGATAATCAACTATCAGGTACGATTCCAAGTGAAATTTCAGATTTGAAAGAGCTAAATTCTTTGTCATTGATGAACAACGAGTTAACCGGTGAAATTCCAGAAGGTATTGATGAGTTTCCAAATCTTGAAGTTCTCTACCTATGGAACAACTCCCTCACCGGAGTTTTGCCGCAAAAGTTAGGTTCAAATGCAAAGTTACAGATGCTTGATGTGTCATCGAACTCGCTATCTGGTCCAATACCACCGAATCTTTGCCTTGGAAACAAGCTAATTAAACTCATCGTCTTCTCTAACAACTTTGTTGGTGAGCTTCCTTCATCACTTGCGAATTGCACAACATTATTTAGGTTCCGAATACAAGACAACAAACTCAATGGCTCAGTACCAAATGGTTTTGGCCTTTTGCCGAATCTAACGTTCATGGATATGAGCAAGAATAACTTCACCGGCTCAATTCCGAAAGATTTTGGCAATGCGGCCAGGCTAGAGTACTTGAACATGTCGGCAAACTCATTCAACACCGAATTGCCGGAAAATATATGGAGCGCGCCGAGATTACAGATTTTTTCTGCAAGTTCCTCTAATCTCGTCGGAAAAATACCTGACTTCATCGGATGTCACAGCTTGTACAAACTTGAACTGGAAGGGAACAATTTAACCGGTAGCATTCCGTGGGATATCGGTCATTGTGAGAAGCTCATAAGCTTGAATTTACGCCATAATTCGCTTACCGGTATTATTCCATGGGAGATTTCAACTCTTCCTTCGATCACCGACCTTGATTTAGCTCATAATTTTCTCACCGGCACAATTCCTTCGAATTTCGGTAATTGCAGAACACTGGAAAGCTTAAATGTATCGTATAATCAGCTCACAGGACCTGTGCCATCATCAGGTTCAGTATTCTCAAATCTCCATCCATCGTCGTTTATCGGAAATGAAGGTCTTTGCGGTGGAATTCTCCCAAAAAAATGCCGGACCGATGGACTTGCAGCCGGCGCAGTGGAGGTCCGACAGCAGCCGAAGAAGACCGCCGGAGCAATTGTCTGGATCATGGCAGCCGCATTTGGCATCGGACTATTTATCCTCATTGCCGGCAGCCGCTGCTTCCACGCGACATATAGCCGTGGATTTTCCGGTGACCGTGAAATCGGGCCGTGGAAATTAACCGCTTTTCAACGGTTGAGTTTCACGGCGGAGGATGTGCTAGAGTGTGTCACGATGACAGATAAGATCATAGGAATGGGGTCCACTGGTACAGTATACAAGGCGGAAATGCCAGGTGGCGAGTTCATAGCGGTGAAAAAGCTATGGGGAAAGCACAAAGAGACGATCCGACGGAGGAGAGGAGTGCTAGCCGAGGTTGAGGTGTTGGGTAACGTGAGGCACAGGAACATAGTGAGACTGTTAGGGTGTTGCAGCAACAGCGAGTGCACCATGCTGCTCTACGAGTACATGCCCAATGGGAGTCTTGATGATTTGTTGCATGGGAAGAACAAGGGTGAGGATTTGGTAGCGGATTGGGTCACCCGGTACACGATAGCACTAGGCGTGGCTCAGGGGATTTGCTATCTTCACCACGACTGTGATCCTGTTATCGTGCACCGCGATCTGAAGCCCAGTAATATATTATTGGACGGTGAGATGGAGGCAAGAGTGGCTGATTTTGGGGTGGCCAAGTTGATCCTGAGTGACGAGTCCATGTCAGTGATCGCGGGGTCCTACGGCTACATTGCGCCAGGTATGTTTGATTTTCTCCATTGTGCTACTGTGCGCTGGAATGTGATGAGTTGATCATACGCATCTTGTTGCATGCTGTTGTTATAAGTTCGTTTTGTAGGGTGACGAAATCTTAACTAACGTGCGCCCAAATGTGCATTGCAAGAAAAATAATCTTACCTTTTTTTGGGTGCATTATCTTATGTCATGTTCGTTTAGTTCTTTCTGTTGGGTGACAAAACGCTTCTATCGTGCACGGGTTTAATGTTTGTGTCGCATCTCATCAGGTGCACAAGAAATATTATCTTGGGTCCCATTGAAATTCTGTCAATTTGGTCAGCACTTGTGGCCAAGAATATGAAATTTTTTATATTTTATAACTATTTTTTTTTATTTTGGGTGGCAAACATCATCGAATCACTTACGAATTTGTTTGATTTCGTAGAATATGCTTACACACTACAAGTTGATGAGAAGAGCGACATATACAGTTATGGAGTAGTGTTAATGGAGGTTTTGAGTGGAAAAAAATCGGTGGATGCAGAATTTGGCGAGGGCAATAGCATAGTGGATTGGGTGCGATCTAAAATCAAGATGAAAGGTGGCATAAATGATATACTCGATAAAAACGCAGGTGCATCTTGTGCATCGGTGAGGGAGGAAATGATGTTGCTGTTAAGGGTTGCATTGCTCTGCACGAGTCGGAATCCAGCTGATCGTCCTTCCATGAGGGACGTTGTCTCAATGTTGCAAGAGGCGAAGCCAAAGAGAAAATTGCCCGGAAGTGATGGAGGTGGTACCGGAGACAATGCAATTGTTGGTGATGTTGTTGATGCTTGTCATATGGCACAAAAGGCAACAGTGGAATGTTAATATGATTGGCTTGGGGTTTTCTTTTATTTTCTTTAAATTTGTGGGGTTGGTATAGGATTAAGTGATTTTTTTTCTTTCTCTATTGTCACTAATGAAAATTTATGAGTGTTATTCCACTTACTAATTACTATGTTGTTTACCTTGGCTTTGTGTTTGTGCTATATTCTCGCTTTACAAATCTCATAAGGTTCAATTTTATTAGTCTTTTTTTGAAATTTTTGATCTAATTTTTTCTGACTACAATGTATTAAATCTGTTAGAGCATCTCGACTATTCTTGTCGAGCATATAACATCTGATTAAGACAAAATTTTAAGTATGGGCCGCTATGGCTATGGAGCCCAATGAGCCCAGAGCATTCTGCTTCGTTTGTTGGCCCAAGGGAAACATACCTAGCCAGCCCGTATCAAGAAGCAAAGCCCAAAAAGACCGGCGGTCCAGCCCTAGCCGAAAGATAACTAGAGAAGGAGAAGTCAAACCCTAACCTTAGACGCATTCCACCACGCCACGCATCCCAAAATGACAAGGGGACCATCTCTGAAACCTATGACAATCACACCTACCTGCGGAGAGTGGTGGTGCGTAACGACTCAGACACAATGGGTACAGTAACGCCGGCTGGTAAGGCTTTACTTGCAGGGCAAGGACAGAAGGTCCCCACAGAATCAGCAAGCAGATAAGAGGAGCCAATGGGAACCCCTCCGGGGCATTCGAACACCGAAGAATGCATGAGTTAGAGTATAACTTCCTGTAATGGCCCAGCGCCTGTAAGCCTACTTACCTCAAATAAATGAATCAATATACAAGCTCAAGGAGTAAGAGACTCCATTACAGTGGATGTAACCTCAGTCCGTCGGCTGAGGTGAACCACTTAACACTTGTGCCTCTCCCTATTGATTAGGCTATCTCTCAGTTCTCACCACCTAAATAAAACTCATCAACGCCCTGTCCACAATCGGACTTGGGCTATAATTTTTGAGACATTATCAGTTGGCGCCGTCTGTGGGAACGATTTTCATCGTTTCCTTTCTAATTTTTTGTTTATTTGATGGTTTCTACTCGGAACATGAGTAAAGCTCTAGCCAATCCCCAAGTCCGTCAGAACCCACCGGAGAACTTTTCGATCCCAGAAGGAAACGTCGAGGATCGCCCTCCAGAGGCAAACCTCCCTCTTCCCAACGAACTAGAGGCTTATTATTGAACAACAGTTCAACTAATGAGGCAGAACCAGGAACTGATGGAGTGGATACAGACACATCGGCTTCCTCAGATCCCGCCAGCACGTCAAGAACCTCCTCCACCCCAGGTCGATCAGGACGCCCCTCCTCAGGAGCGCAAAGCCCCATCTAACGGAGTCACCGAGCTCCACGAGCGGAGCCAGTCTGGAGAAAATCATCGAAGGAGGTACCCTGGTGAACACAATGAAGATGAGGCCCACAGCAGCATCAACAAGTCCTTGGCGAAATTCGAGTCATCTTGGGAGGCTTCGCAGGAGGCGGAGAATCCAGCTCAGCAAACGCTCACCAGAAAAGCCCGATCGTGAGATTTACTCGAGGTCCAAGCCGTCACTAAGGTACCCCGCCGAGACGTGGAGATCACTTTTTCTAACGCAGATCTCAAAGGATGCCAACACCCGCATGACGACCCCCTGGTCATAAAGGCGATCGTTGCAAATAAAATCATACACCGAGTACTCGTGGACAACGGAAGCTTGACGGATATCACCTTCATGACGACCTTCGATCAGCTTGGCATCGAAAGATCTAGGCTCGAACCTGTGAGAACCCACCTCTGGGGTTTCTCGGGAGAAAAGGTCATGCCGACCGGAGCTATACAGCTCGTCCTGACAGTAGGAGACCAACCTTGCCAGGTTACGACCACTACACGCTTCCTTATTGTTGATGCATCTTTTGCCTACAACATCCTGTTGGGTAGGTCATCTCTCAACTCAATTAAGGCAGTACCTTCGGCGTACCACCTGGTGATGAAATTCCCCACTGAGAACGGGGTCGGCATGGTCCGGGGCGACCAGCGCCTCGCCAGGGAATGTTATGTGGCATCGATGAAGCAAAGGAAGGTGGAATCGGTTCAACTGGAAGACTTAGATATGAGGGACGAGTTGGAAACCAGATCCACTCCTACTGAGCAGCTGGAGCCCATGCAACTGGACGAGGATCCGGAACACGTAGTCTTCGTGGACTCCATGCTGCTCCCTGTGATTAGAGAGAAGATTATTTCACTTCTAAAAGAGAATGTAGACTCGTTCGCATGGAAGCAGGAGGACATGGAAGGAATAGATCCCATAGTAATCATACACCGCCTCAGCGTCGATCCTCACTACAAGCCCGTGAGACAGAAGAGAAGAAGCTTCGCGCCAGAACAACAAAAGGCCATCAACGAGGAGGTGGCAAAGCTGCTGCAAGCTAAGGCCATCGGGGAGATCGACTACCCGACCTGGCTGGCCAACGTTGTGCTTGTAAAGAAGGTAAATGGTAAATGGCGGCTCTGCGTCGACTTCATCGATCTAAACCGAGCATGCCCTAAGGACAGCTTCCTGCTGCCTCAAATTGACTTAATAGTCGACGCCACAGCTAGCCATGAGCTTCTCAGCTTTATGGATGCTTTCTCAGGATATAACCAGATCAGAATGGACCCTAACGACCAAGAGAAAATTTTGTTCATTACCGAGCAAGGGACCTTCTGCTATCAAGTTATGCCTTTCGGACTAAAGAACGTCGGAGCCACCTATCAAAGGTTAGTCAACAGGATGTTCCGAGAAAAGCTCGGCTCGACAATGGAGATATATATTGACGACATGCTCGTGAAGTCGCTTAAAGCAGAGGCGTATGTCCGACACCTCGGGGAGGTGTTCGAAATCATGCGACAGTACCGGATGAAGTTGAATCCAGTGAAGTGTGCATTTGGGGTATCGACCGGGAAGTTCTTGGGTTTCATAGTCAACAACCGAGGCATCGAGGTGAACTCGGAGAAGGTAAAGGCCGTCCTCGAAATGAAAGCACCCACCAGCACAGGAGAAATACAGCGCCTGACCGGGAGGATAGCGGCACTCAACCGATTTGTATCACGCTCCAGCGATAAGTGCTAACCTTTCTTCAAGGTTTTAAAAGCAGCCTTTCGATGGGACGAAAAATGCGAAAAGGCCTTCCAAGCCCTTAAGACTTATTTGGCCTCCACCCTGGTGTTGGTGAGTCTTCGAGAAGGAAAGGTCCTCACCCTTTACCTAGCAGTGCTCGACTTCGCGGTCAGCACGACATTAGTAAAAAATCTGGATCGGACACAACAACCGGTTTACTTCTGTAGAAAAGCCCTCCGAGGAGCTGAGGAAAGGTACCCTAAGATGGAGAAGCTCGTTTTAGCCCTCCTAGTGGCAGCTCCGAGGCTCAGACCGTATTTTCAAGCCCATACCATCGAAGTCTCGACAGACCAACCAATGAGACAGGTACTCCACAAATCAGAAGCCTCCAGGAGGCTGGTGAAGTAGGCAATAGAGCTAAGTGAATTCGATATCAAGTTCAAGCCTAGGACCGCTATCAAGGGACAAGTCTTAGCAGATTTCCTCGCTGAGTTCACCTCCCCCCTAGAAGAAAATAAAGAAGGCCGAGACTGTGTCCCTGACGTTTCGACTTGGAGATTGTACGTCGACGGAGCATCAAACGCCTAGGGTAGTGGAGCGGGTCTCATCCTGACATCACCTGAGGGGTACGACCTGGAGTATGCTCTAAGGTTTGACTTTCAAGCATCTAATAACGAAGCTGAGTATGAGACACTCATCGCCGGCCTAAACCTTGCTTTATCAATGAAAGCGCAACGGATGGTGATCCATAGCGACTCGCAACAGGTAGTCAGGCAGGTCGAAGAGGAATACGCTGCCAAAGACGAGAAGATGACACTCTACGTGGTAAAGATGCGCAGTTTGCTGAGAAAATTTGTGGTGACAGAGTTGGTCCAGATATCGCGAGAAGCCAATGCCCACGTTGACGCCCTGGCCAAACTAGCCACCACCGCGGACCGACTCATGCCAGGGGGAATGCCCGTCGAAGTCCTCATCGAGCCTAGCGTACAGCACGACAAAGAGAAAACCGTTGAAAACCAAGCCATGCCAGTTAAAGAAGGAACTTCGTGGATGAACCCCATCGTATCCTTTCTGCAAGACGGAGTGCTGCCAGACGATCCAAAGGAAGCATCAAAACTGGGGACCAGAGCAGCAAGATTCATGATGATTCAAGGTAATCTCTACAAAATGGGTTTTTCTTTTTCATTAATGAAATGTGTGACAGAAAGAGAGGCGAACTACATTTTAAGAGAAATCCACAAAGGCATGTGCGAAAATCACATTTGCACAAGGACCCTTGCAAGCAAGGCCATACGACAAGGTTACTTCTGACCGACTGTGAGTAAAGACGCCAAGGCCTTACGGCAAGCCTGCCAGGTGCATGGTAACTTGCCACACTGCCCGCCCGAGTTATTAACCCCTGTTGTTAGCCCTTGACCCTTCCAACAGTGAGATTTAGACATCCTGGGCCCCTTACTAGTTGGGGTCGGACAATGCAAATGCTTGGTGGTAGTAGTAGATTATTTTACAAAGTGGGCTGAAGTCGAACCTCTAGCCAAGGTCACGGCACAGAAGGTCAAGAACTTCGTCTGGAAGTCTATAATCTGCCGTTTTGGAGTCCCTGGGCATTAGTTTCAGATAATGGAAAACAGTTTGATAATCCGGCGTTCATTGGTTTCTGCGCCGATCTGGGGATCAAGAACTACTTCTCGGCACCTGCCCACCCCCAGTCCAATGGACAAGCTGAGGTGACTATCAGAACCATTAAGCTGGCGCTCAAGATTAGAGGCCTCTAAGTCTCAATGGGTGGACCACCTCCCAGTAGTGCTATGGGCATATTGAACAACCGCACGTATCGCGATCGACGAGACTCCTTTTAGTTTGGCATATGGGACCGAGGCGATGGCTCCAGTCGAGGTAGGTGTGCCCTCTGCGAGAGCTGAGCTATTTAACTCGGAACAGAATGAGAGATCCTTACTAGTAAACCTCGATCTGCTCGACGAAAAAGAGATGAGGCACTGCAGCGAATATTTTCCTATTAGAGAAACACGACTAGGTTTTATAACAGGAGGGTGAAAAGAAGAAGCTTCAAACCAGGTGACTTGGTATTAAAAA